GACTGGATTCTAAAATCAGCATAGGAGAAGAAAGTCACTGTATTAGTCTGCTTGAGCTGCTCTAACAAAATACTACAAATTGGGTGGCTTAAGCAAAAGACATTTATTCCTTACAGTTTGGGAGGCTGAGAAGTCTGAGATCAAGGTGCTGACTGATGTAGTTATTGGTGAGTGCTCTCTTCCTGGCTTGCAGACTGCTGCCTTCTCACTAAGTCCTCACATGACCTTGTCTTGGTGCATGCACATGGGCAGAGCTCTCCCTCTCTCCTTCTTCTTAAAGAGCCACCAATCCTATCAAATTAGGGGCCCCCCTATGACCTCATTTAACTTTTTGGGATTAGGGCTTCAACATATAAATTTGGGGGAACATAATTCAGTCCATTACAGTAACATAGAGACAAAATTACCCTTGGGAATCCCTTCAGAAAATGCTGCATATGAATAGCCCTACACAGACAGGTATTTCCCCAGCATTGGAACAGATTATCGGTTCTTAGGTTGAGCATCAGATGAAGTAGCTGGCTAATACATAGGAGTCATGATGGCTAAATTATTCATGATGGATAAAGAATATTTTCCTTTAAACCTCAGGATCACGCACCCTGGCAAGTTGCTCACTCTGTGGAGGCCTCAGGAACTATGTCACTCAAGGAAACAGCACCAAGTCCAAGTCTCTGTCTTCACACTTACTCTGAGGCTCAGGTCATTGAGGGGAACTCCAGGGAAAATGGCTCACACTTTAATCACTTACACTATCTTTAACGTGCTCTAAAGATAAGTGTGTGCAGTTGAATTTATGTAAACTGATTGTGTCTTGCATAAAGTAGAATGAGTATGTTTCCACCTTTACCCCTAAAGGCAAATAATCAAAGCATGAAGTGTTCATTTTAAACTCTAGCCCAAAAGTTGATCTTTATTTCTATTCAGTAGCAGATAAAGCCATTTATTCAGACACACTATCTGTTAGACATCCCTTGAAAAATATTTGGAAGCAAAAGACACACGTTCATACAAAACAAAAGAGTAAAGCTATTTTAATCTCATTGTCTCTAGACTTAGTTCCTATACTCACTAAAAATGACAGGTCACTGAGATAATTGACAGGTTAGTCACATCCCACCAGGGGCTTATTTGTTAGACAGACAATTACTGTGCAGATGGTCAATTAAGTCATTCCCCTGCTGCTCCCTCCCAGATGATTCAGCTGTTTTCCAAGCCATAAAACTATAACCTCTAAAAAATCTCCCTTGCCATTTATCTGTAAGAGTTAAAAGTAAGCTTGAAATAAGCTTTTGAGAGTGTTATTAGATAAACAATGTTAATGCTTTAGAAGCAACTTTATTTACAATATCTACAGATTCCTAGAGATACTTTTGTAACTGTATTTTCCTACACACACACACACCACAAAACTCACTCTTGTGGCTCAATATAAAATAATGTGAAGACACACATAGTATATTTAAAATAATTTGAAAGTGCACTCAGCAGAGAATTTTATAATCTGTGTAATACAATGCGACCACATAGTTGCTATTGCTAATGCTGTGAATGCTGTAATCTGGCATCGCTTTAAAACCAACCCCCTTAAAGGGCCCGTCTGGGTCAGTTACAGGTCAGCATCTTCAAGGGTCTAACGATCCCTTATTTATAATATGGATCACTTGAGTTATACATTCAAGTTCTTCTTTGCGATTTTAAAGTTTATAAAAAACAGAAAACTGGTTAGTCTGCTCTACCAAAGGAGAGTGGAGAAGGAAGAATACTTTTTATGAGACCCAAAGACTGGGCCATTTTTAGCATTATCCTGATAAATATATTCAGCATTATCTTGATAAATATCCTTCTAAAGCACTCATCTCCAATACTTAAGTGTGGAGGTTCTTTCTCCCAGACCTCTACAGCCCTTTCGTGCTCATTTCTAAGGGTTCATTTTTATTTCTGTCCACACTGCAATAAAGAAACTCCAATGGTCTTTCACTCTCAACAACAAATGCATTAATACAGCAATATAAATGGAGTCAACGTTCTGCAGCTCGCTTTTGCCTCTGCTTTCTCTACCAGCCTCCGAAGGCATCAGGTTTAAAATGCACCATTTGTGAAGGAGTGCCTTTCAAACGATGAACTTCCACAGTCCTATTACTATTGCTTCTTAAGGAGAGGTGCCTTGTGAGCTGAAGTAGTGGGGTGGTAAGGAGAAAGTGCACCTACCTTTAAGTTGGATGAAAAAGAAGAAAAGAATACTGGAAAGAAAGAGAAACTGTACTGCCTTGTTTCCTTTGTTTTGCTGAGAAACCATGAAATCCTCAAGGGAAAAATCGTAAGGCCTCAGAGGTGCTTCTACAATCTAAGGCTTTTATAATAATGGCTGGGAAGAGGAGAAGTAGAAAACAGGGGAACTGGATGTAAATGTTCACTGCTCTTACACCACGAGTCCATCTAAAACCGTACAAAATCAGGTAATGACAGTTCATTTTCTCTCCCATCATCCATTCACAATAACCAATTAATCTAGAGTTAAGTTTCTATTTCTACTCTACTGCTCAGTCTCATATCTCCACTTCAAATTTCCAGTTAACACCAAATTGACGTTGGCTATTTTTGTACTTCCGTTTAAACAGCATGCTATATACACTCATGTATATATGCCAAAGCCATTTAAGAAAAAACTGTTTTGTCCCAAGAGAAAACTAAATTATATTTATAAGCTGTGTCTAAGAAATATATTAATCTCTAAATTACAGCCCTTTAAACATTGTCCTCTGCCACCAGGATTCAGATATTATGTTGTGAATCATTTAAACCATTTCACTGGAAGGTTTATTCCTGCCCTGTTCATCTGTGAATTATAGGGTAAAAACCACTATTTCATTACTAATTACTTTTATTGCAAAGAACAAGGAAAGGAAACAAAATCCTTAATTATAAGGAATTGCAACCCATCTGGCAATGATGCAACACCTTAAGGTTGTTCCAGAATGGAAATATTTGACCTGAACTATATATTGATTAAGCCACTGCTATATTTTGAGATTACACAGTCAATTTTGTATAATAAAAAATGGGTTTCTTCTTGCCAGTTCTGGACCAATAAAATTCAAAGCAGGTAAAAATCCTACCCAACTTTCCCACAAACTGCCAGTCATCACACCCTTCAAAAATATATTCTTTGGTCAATGTTTCTCTTTGTTCTCACACAATCAGCAGGAGAAGGTACTCTTCCCTGATCTTAACACACAAAATGCTACAGTAACATGCAAAAAGAACAAACATATCAAGGGCCAAGGGCAAAGGCAATAATGCTATTGAAACAAGACAGAAGAAAAGGAAAATCTTCTAAAGCATAAGGATTGTAACCAAGGAAGAAAAGGCCCAACCAAAAACTTTTAAAAATTGAAGTGCTGAGAAGTAGCAGTGCACCACAGAAATGAAAGTTGTTGCTTTCTCTTATTTCTTCAATTTAAATAAGAAAATAAGTCATAAAAAATAATCATCCTGTATTATTTACAAGTTTCTCAAGCAAACCCTAATATGGTTTTTGAACTAATAGTTTAACTGGTAAATCTTCAGGAGAACTTTATGTCACCTTTTAAAAAGATAGTTTAATTTTTAAAGATGGAAGAGGATTTTTTTTAAAGGTAATAATTCCTCACTAGATTTGCTAATCCAGACAACATGAGGCTTCTGAATTAAGATGGAGGAATAGACAGTCACCAGTGTCACTCTCTCCCACAATCGACCAATTTACAACTATTTAAAAAAGCAGTAAATGCCAAGCTCGTAGAACTAAGGGGAAAAGGAGGAGAGACCTACAGAGTTCATGAAGATGAGAGAAGCTGCGATGAGAAAAAGAAAGGATCACTCCAACCATTTCAAGCCCTGGCCACTTCAGGGCTGGCCCTGGTGAGCACAGGGAGTAAGAGTCGGCAAAAATTGCAGCTGTGCCCTTTATGGGAAGTTACTTGGAGGCTGCAGGGAAGAGGAGGGCCTTGGTGGACCCCAGGCCAGCAAGACCACTGACAGGGTTCCCGTGGACCCACATAGGAGTGAGGGGCCACAGACAACTGAAAAGAAGGAGCCAAAGGCTTGTGAGTCGTCGCAAGGGACCAGTGAATGGCCTACCTCAAGGGAAGTATTTGTAGCATGGGAGGTGGTGGAGACAGGCCCACTGGGGAAAATTGGGGGCTGATCTGCTCTCCAGTCAGCACAGACCCACTCAGTGGAGACTGGTCAGGAATATAGAACTGCAGGGGGTGCAGTTTGCTGAAAAGACTCAGGGCCCGGGCCAGAGTTTTCACACAACCCAGGTGTACTGGCCCTCACAAGACCCGGAAGTGCTTACAAGGTCCACAGTTAAAACCTGAGCTGCACAAAAAGCCTTCCCCAGGGAATCAGCAGCAAAGCAGCAATTTAGCTCAAGTGCTGTTCCCCACAGGAAGTTCCCCCATTTTAGTACTAAGCAAAGGACAACAGTTAGTTCCAGTGCAGAGTTTACGTGGTGGGTGCAACTAATAATCCAACACAGAACTGAAAGAAAACACAAAACACCCACAGATCAGAGACAGAGTTCTGATATTAACCAGTAAAGATCTAACACCACCAAAGAACAGTTATAAAACTAGAAAGAGCTGGAAGACCCCCAGGCTCCTGAGACAAGCTGAGGGAAGCCTGAGGGCCTCAGCCATGTGCCCCTGATGAACTGCTGCCAGAAGCCCACGGGCTACCAAGCTGGGGTTGTGGGGATGTGAGGGCCTCAGCCATGTACCCCTGACATCTGCATCCAGCCCAGTGACAAACCAAGCCACCACAGAAGCTTCTGGAGCTCTTGAGCCAGGGTGGGGGGAGCTGAGGGCCACAGCCATGATCCCGTCATCTGCATCCAGCCCAGTGAGGATCATACCTCTAATAGGAGCCCCCTGGGATCCCAAACAGGGTAGAGGGGAGCCAAGGGCGTTATCCGTGCCACCCTGACACACACATTTAGTCCAGTGATGACCTACCTGCTGCCAGAAGCTCCACAGGCCCACGAGATGGGGTGGGCGGGGCCAAGGGCCTCAGCCACATCCCCTGATGTTCACATCCAGCCCAGTGACAACTGAGCCAATGCCAGAAACTCCCCAGGCTCCCAAGCTGGAGTGGGGGAGTCCACAGGCCTCAGCCACGCGCCCGTCCCCTGCCCTCTGCAAGCAGGCCAGCAAAGGCGCTGGCTGTGGGCCAGCCCCACCCCCCAACTCCATTTCTCTACTTTCCTCCCCCCACCCCTCCCACTGCTCTGCAACAACATCTTTGAATGTAAAATAATAATAAACAAATTATAAAAAATAAAATAAGTTTGCTAGTCCAGAATATATTACACTTTTGACATGACTTTTACTAAGAAAATGTATTTCTTTCTCCTCAGATATTCTCAGGTTTTCTAGAGAATAAGTTGAAAATAAAATTGGTTGCTTTTTCAAAAGAAGGATTCACATGCTAAAACACTCCTCGGTTTACCCATTAATTCTCAGGGAGTATTAATTATGCTTTTGAGTTGTATTAATTTATTTTATGTTTGAGCTATCTGTATATTAATTTGTAATATATATCACAAACTGTACTTAAAAGTAATACAGCGCATAAACTTATTCATTGTAGCATTATTTATAATCGCAAAATATTGGGAGTGTTCATACACAGGGGAGCGGTTGAATAAACTAGGGAACACCCATATGTACCATAAGCATGGAGTATTATGCAGCAGTTAAAAAAAGAATAAAAAGGGAGCGTGGTGGCGCTCCCGCCGAGGGTTCGGATCCCACATACAGACCGGCCGCTCACTGGCTGAGCGAGGTGCAGGTGCAGCGCTGAGGGTTGCGATCCCGTTGCCGGTCCCGGTCCGGTACGGGCACGACACTGAGGGTTGCAATCCATTGCCGGTCACGAAAAAAGACAAAAAGGAAAAAAAAAAAAAGGAATAAAAAGACCTCTAGGAAGTAACATAAAGTGATTCCCAAAAGAAATTGTTAAATGAAAATGTAGAGTACAAAGAGTATTTATGGGATACTACCCTTCATGTAAGAAAGAAGGGGATATAAGAAAATTCCTATTGCAGTCAAACGATTTTAATAAATTCAATATGATATAGAATGTGGCTAATGAAATAATTAAAAATTCACTAGATTTACAAAAAATAAAAAGGATTATAAGCATCTAGAGAGGGGCTATAGTAGGAAACTCTCTAGCTTTATATTCCTAAATGTGTTAGCATCTTCCTCAGCAGCTTCTGAACAAGTTGTCACTGGGCCTACTTGATACTCTAATGGAAAGACCCCGGTGAGGATAACTCTTATTGTCTGGGTACTATTACTGCTGTTTTGCTTGTGGTTATTGTTTGATTAGGGTACTGTTTTATTGTGAAGCTATAATGAGTTGTATTTTTGAAAAGCCATATTTCCCAGTAGGAATCACCATGGGGGTCCAGAAATGGATGAAGCTGATAACCTAAGCCAGGACCAGTGGCTCTGTCATTGGAAACCCTCCTGGATATCTACCCCCACTATGCTTTAAATCATCCACCCAGCAAGCATTATTAAATACCTCTTATCAGCCATGCACTGTGCAAAACAGAAAGAGACAAGACATGGTTCCTTTCTTCAAAGAGCTCACAGGTCTAGTATGAGAAGATATGTAATCCAATAAGTACAAGATGTGCATCACACAGGGTCAAGGCACTGCCAGGCCAGTTGGGGGAGTGGAGGGACTGGTGCACTTTCCTGGAGATGGAGGTGTCAAGAAAGACTCTAGAAGAGGTGTCAGTTGGTGAATCTTGAAAAATGCACAGGGAAAAGACAGATAGAGAGGGAGTGGGAAGGGCATTCTTGGTGAAGTTGCTCTGAGTAAGAGCTTAATGTAGGGGAACTCTACATATTTCAGGAGAGCCAGTGGAGATATGAGGGGCTGTCCACGCTGTGATAAGGCTGAACCCCAATGTGCACTGCAGTAGTCTCTGTGTATTTATATTGACTCTAATGAGTGTCATTCTAGATGATAAATATGGAATGGCTGGCAAGCAGGTGAAATAGGCAAGGAGAGGGGAGTAAGCAGGGTTACGCCATTGCAGGACCTCCAGCAGCTCCAAATTTTGGATAATCATTAAAATGGTTTTACATAATTTATAACCTGAACAGAGAGTGGTATAAATGAATATAATGTGCAAGTTAATAGTTTTTATATTAAAATAATTGAATTAGTTTACTTTTATTGCTATTATATTTACTATTAGTATTACATATTTACTATTAATATTAGCATAACGATTGTGCTAATATTACATTACTAATTTTATTTAACGATATCATAGCACACATTATTTCATGGAATACTTCTCATCCTCAGGACAGATTTTGCACTTGCTGTACCTAAATTTGGTCCTATTGTTCTCTCTTCCAGAAATGCCTTCCTGTCACTCCCTTAATGAAAATTATAGACATTTGGTACATAACCAAAGCTCTAAAATAGACATCTTCTTGGATCCAGCAATTCTTCTTTGGGAAATTTATTCTAAGGAAAGATAAAGATCTTTGTAAAAATTTAGCTACAAGAATAAACCTTGTATTAATTGGTTGGTTGTAGAGTTACTAGGTTGGGAGAGTAAAAATTTAGCAACTTAATTATCTAAACAAAATAATGTAATATGATGAAACCATTCAAAAGGTATTGTGGAAATTTATTTGTTCACAGGAAGAAAGATCTATACACTTTATTATTTTAAAAGCAGCTCTGAGAATGTAGAGGGTTTTAAAAAATGATTTCTTCCAAATTTTCAAACTTATCGGCATAAATCTGTTCATAATATAATTGTGTGATAACTTATGTCTGCAGTATCTGTAGTTATTTTTTTTATCCATAATACTATTTATTTGTGCCTTCTCTCTCAGAGATTTCTAATCTTTTCAAAGAACTTTTAGCTTTCCTCTTTTTTTTTTTTTTAATTTCTGGTGTCTATTTCATATACTTCTAGAAACTTTAGGTATATTTTGATGTTCTATTGCCTTAATATGTATGCTTAGCTCATTAGTTTTCATTCCTCTTTGTTTTTAACCTCATGTAAGCATTTACGGTTGTAAATCTCATTAGGTTCTGCCTCTACCAGCCCAGCTTATTTTTTATCTTCCCTCCTTTTATCATCTGTCTCTCTCTCTCTGATCTGATCTCTTGTTTCAAAGAATAAGTGATATTTTAATGTTTTTATTCCATAGAGGAGTTTGTTCAGTATTTTCTTCTGTTCTATGGTATATTTATTCTTCTATGTGTTCTTTACCAGCTTTTTGTTTTTCCTGGTACTTTTGCAGAGGTCCCATTGTGGTCCATTCTGATTATCTGTGATCTTTGCATTTGTTGAAGGATGAGAGGAGGAGGACCTGGGGTCGGGGTGGACGAGCTCGGGAGAGCAAGTAGTTAGCTGTATGTATTGACTTGGGAGTTTTCCCACCAACTCCTTGTTCAGGAGACTCACACTCACTCCTGGTGCACAAATAAGTCTGAAATGTCTCTGGTCCTCTTATTGATCAAGACTAGTAACTGCAGAGCTGATGGCCACCCACCTTCTTCCCCACCCTCCCGTCCCACACAAGGGCGGTGTCAAGGGCGGTGTGTTTGTACATTTCCTCATTCTCCTCCATTTCCTCTGCTACCCGGTGATGCCTCTCAGGCCCCAGGGACCTGTTGGAAGCTTGTCTGGGGCTTGCAATTCCAAGCAAAGGATTGCAGGTTTTGCCTTTTAGCGGATGCTATTTAATTTTGGAAGATTCTGCATATTGTTAAAGATCCACAGAACCATATGTTTTCTCTTACATTTCTTTCACAATTGGGCCCAAATTTTACTTTATTTAGAAGTCATTATTCATAGATCGTGTTTTTCAGATTGTGCTGTTTCCTTTGATTGAATTTTTACCTCTGTTTCACACCTCCCATATTTACCAAGCCAACTTCTAATACTAACCTCGTTTCTCTGCCTTCAGTCCTTTATATCTTGGTGAATTACTGTCATCGTTATCCTCCTTAAAATTTCTGTTACATTGTGTCAATTTCCTCCTGCAAAACCTTGGAGATCCTCCACATACTTCAGGACGTCCATGACATGACCTAATTCTACCTTCCCAGCCTCCTTTTTACTGCATCCTTCTATTAACCTGACACTAAATGCCAGAATTCCAGAATGTTCTCACCTCCAGGACCCACTTATGCTTTCCTCATGGTATACGTCTAAAATCACCACTGTGAAATCCCCCTTATTGCCCAAATAGGATAAGCATCCCCTGCTTTTCTGTTTCCAAGCTTGTTTGTAGTTGGTTATTTACATACTTGTCTCCCCTGCTGGATTTCTCCCACTTCAAGGCAGGATCCTCTTGACTTCATCTCTATAGCATGTGCTACAGCAACTATACATTGGTGCTCATGTATATGCACTGATAGAAAAGATCAATGACACATTTCCCCACTGGGAATAATAAATTTGCGACCTGTTTCTTATAAGCCTGAGCAATACAAAGCACTTTTTCCAGTGTCTAACTCATTTCCCCACCCTACCTCTACTTTCACCTGCCCTGTTAAATTGGAGAATGATTCCTGCTTTGCATAATAGGCCAGGAAAGCCTTAACTTTCACAAACACAGCAGTGACTAAGAGCAGTCCATCTCCATGACTTTATATCTGCAGTGTGTTTCCTCCTCTTACTATTGCCACAACCTAAATCAACATAGTGTTGATCTCAAATGTGTGTTAAAAAAGAAAAAAAAAAGAAACAAAAACACAAGCTAAAACTAAACAAAAACACAGTGTTCTGTGTGGGTAAGGAAATACCATTAGATATTAACAGTAGGTATCTCTGGATTTTTGTTTTATAATTTAGAATTTTCTATATTTACCCATTTCTTATAATAAGCATATATTTCACATTTTTAAAAGTATTAATAAATACTTTAAAAGATACTTCCAAGAATAGCATACAGTATAGCTCTCTCATATGTGCAAAATAAATAAGTCCAGCAGATGGCGCAAAAACCATAATCCATAATTAAAATAGCTTTTAA